GCGGCCTTCAGCAGGACAGGAGAAAGCCTAGGACTTGTACTGTGAAGTCCCAGACCTAAGAAATCCAAACCTGAGATGGAAAAGAGGGTGGAGAGAATGGGTCGCCGGACTGGCCGTCCAGAGCAGCCTCAGCTGCAGCAGGCGGAGCTGTGCGGGCTGCCCCACAGGCCTGGTGGGTGCTCCTGGTGCAGGGCGCGGAGCAGCGTCCCCAGCGAGCAGCCTGCCCCACACATGAAGGTACCCACACACTTAGCCCCTTGCTAAGAGTTTCACTGGCCAGAGCTCCGTCCGAGTCCAGGGCTCCACTCAAGGGACTGCGGTCACCATTGTGAAGAAGGCCCGTCAGGGTGAATGTTTTCCCCAGGGGAGCAGAGTCACCTTTTGTCAGACAGAACTTGGTGAGCCTGACACAGCTGGTAGTGGCCCCAGCTCCAACATCAGACTTCAGAGCTGAAGGGCACAGAGAAGGCACAGCTAGAGACAGCAGGTGCCCCTCGAAGCTCTCGGGAGAGGGTACCAGGCGGGATCTCCCAGCACCCTTGGCCTCTAGGCTGATCTGGCCTCAAAAGCCCCGAGAGGGCTGGATCCAAGGAGACAAAGCCGGAGAGGTCGGGGGGTGGGTGGCTAAGGGGACAGGCTGGACAGCGGTGGGGGAGGCAGGTGGCTTTGCTATAAACAATCGTCTGAGTAACGTGGCACTGCCCTTGTGTGGGCAGGTTCACGCGCCGGCATAACCTCTTCTAAAACACACTTTTATGGAGGTGAAGTTTGCTTAACAGCCATTTTAAAGCATACACTTCACGGGCAGCGCTGGATTCACGACGCGCACCTTCTGCTTCTCTGGTTTCAGAACGTTTTTGTCCCTCCAGAACAATGCCTCGTACCCGTTAAGTAATCACACCCATTCCTTCCCCAGCTCTGGAAACCACAGATCCGCTTTCTGTCTCCGTGGGTGTGTCTGTTTGGGATATTTCATATAAAAGGAATCACGCAGCACGTGAACGTGTGTGTCCCGCTTCTTTCCGTGAAAGTCACATTTCCAAGGCTCCGAGTGGTGGTATGTCTCAGCATCTCACTTCTGTTCACAGGTGTGTAATATCCCGTCCCAGGGACCTGGCACCGTTCGTGAATCCCTGCACCTGCTGGCGGACACCCAGTCATCTCCACTTTCCTGCTGTTTGAAGGATGGAGCTGCGAACATCTGTATGCATGTTTCTGAGGGGCGGGTTTTGTTTCTTTTGGGTACATGCTTAAGAGGCGAATGCTGAATCCCCTGCCAAGTCTGCTCATAACCTTTGTCAAGAACCAGCAAATGTTTTCCACGGCAGACACATCATTTTACATTCCCACCAGCAATGTCTGAGGGTTCCTGTTTCTCCATATTCTCGCCTTTTTCTACTTAAAGCTCCAGGCAGAGGGAACAGAGCAGGTAAAGACCAGAGGCCCAGCAGGCAGCGCTTGGCTGGAGCTCACCAGGGGCTTGGACCAGAGGGCACGAGAAAGACAGGAGTGGAGGCCGATGCCCACCAGTGGACCGCAACAAGTGCTGGGTGGCTGGGCCACGTCGCTCACGCAGAGGGAGCAGAGACGTTTGGAAATGCTTTGCAGAGGTGAGAATATGGCTTGCTCGGAGAGCGCTTGTGTATCTGCAGTTCCCTGAGAAGGCCTGTAGGAGTGACACCAGTGACAAGGCCATTGCAGGAGGCAACGGGAGCTGTCGGTTGGAGCGGGATCGCCGTGAGAAAGGGCTGGAGAGAAGAGGGTTAGCCTGGGGGCTTCTGCAGTCTGGGCAGGGGCGGAAGCAGCCTTCAGGGCCGTGGGTGGGCAGGAGACGGGGCAGAGAGGGTTGGCGAGGACTCAGGGTAGCAGGTTCCGAGTTCTTTACCAAGAATTTACGTTAAAACAACGTAAGCTAGGCCAGGCATTGTGGCTCACGCCTGCAATCTCAGCGGTTTGGGAGGCCAAGACAGGCGGATCATTTGAGATCAGGAGTTTGAGACCATCCTGGCCAACACGGTGAAACCCCATCTCTACTAAAAATACAAAAATTATCTGGGCTTGGTGGCGCACGCCTGTAATCCCAGCTACACAAGAGGCTGAGGCAGGAGACTCACTTGAACCTGGGAGGTGGATGTTGCAGTGAGCTGGGATCACCACTGCACTCCAGCCTGGGTGACGGAGCGAGACTCCGTCTCAAAAGTATCAGCAACTGACGGGCTATACATTGTTAAGCTGTCGGGTGTGGGTTCGCGTCCAGTGTGGCATTGTTCCATCCATTTACAGCCTCTTGTGGCAACAGCAAGCAGTTTCCAGAGATGAGTGTGCAGCTTGAGTGGGTGGAGGAGGCAGAGGGCATGACTGCTGCCTCATCTTAATGCCTTGGGCCTGATAATTTGACAGGACTCACAGTCCTCAGGTAAACAGAGGAGGGGCTGAAGGGAATCTGTTTCTCTACTGAACTCACGATACCAAACCTATCAGGTTTTCATTTCCCACACCGCCCAATTTTCCAACTCCTTGGACACCAACTGGATGTCCTGGAATTCGATTCAATTCTGAGACTGACCACCTGGGTCGAAGTGCACCGTCCGCCCTCCTGACATGGTGATGAGTTCGCCACCCTGGGAGTTCTTGGAAGCCCATCATTTAGGATGCTTATGGAGATTCCATTACGTAGGTGTGGGGCCAAGGAAGAGCTTTTCCGCTCAGTCTTCCAAGGGTTTGCTGAAAAGTCAACTCACAAAAGGCAAATTAACTGTGCAACTCACTCCACCCTGTACACCCGACTGAGCAACTCACTCCACCCTGTACACCCGACTGAGCAACTCACTCCACCCTGTACACCCGACTGAGCAACTCACTCCAATCTCTACACCCAACTGAGCAACTCACTCCCACCACATACACACGACTGAGCAACTCACTCCACCATGTACACCCGACTGAGCAACTCACTCCCACCATGTACACCCGACTGAGCAACTCACTCCACCCTGTACACCCAACTGAGCAACTCACTCCACCCTGTACACCCGACTGAGCAACTCACTCCCACCATGTACACCTGACTGACCAACTCACTCCACCCTCTACACCCGACTGAGCAACTCACTCCACCCTCTACACCCGACTGAGCAACTCACTCCCACCACGTACACCTGACTGAGCAACTCACTCCACCCTCTACACCTGACTGACCAACTCACTCCCACCAGGTACACCCGACTGAGCAACTCACTCCACCCTCTACACCCGACTGAGCAACTCACTCCCACCCTGTACACCCGACTGAGCAACTCACTCCACCCTCTACACCCGACTGAGCAACTCACTCCCACCATGTACACCCGACTGAGCAACTCACTCCACCCTCTACACCCAACTGAGCAACTCACTCCACCCTGTACACCCGACTGAGCAACTCACTCCCACCATGTACACCCGACTGAGTAACTCACTCCCACCATGTACACCTGACTGACCAACTCACTCCACCCTCTACACCCAACTGAGCAGCTCACTCCACCCTGTACACCCAACTGAGCAACTCACTCCACCCTCTACACCCGATTGAGCAACTCACTCCCACCACGTACACCCGACTGAGCAACTCACTCCACCATGTACACCCGACTGAGCAACTCACTCCCACCATGTACACCCGACTGAGCAACTCACTCCACCCCGGACACCCGACTGACCAACTCACTCCACCCTGGACACCCGACTGAGCAACTCACTCCACCCTGTACACCCGACTCAGCAACTCACTCCCACCATGTACACCCGACTCAGCAACTCAGTCTGCTGTGTAACTCACCCCATCACTGCGTCACTCACCCCATCACTGCATACTCACTGCATCATTGTGTAACTCACCCCACTGTGTAACTGACCCCATCATTGCGTAACTCACCCCATCACTGCGTAACTCACCCCATCACTGCATAATCACCCCATCGTTGTGTAACTCACCCCACTGTGTAACTCACCCCATCACTGCGTAACTCACCCCATCACTGCATAACTCACCCCATCGCTGCGTAACTCATCCCACTGCCTAACTCACCCCATCACTGTGTAACTCACCCCATCACTGCATAACTCACCCTGTCACTGTGTAACACACCCTGTCACTGCTTAACTCAACCCACTGTGTAACTCACCCCATCACTGCGTAACTCACCCCATCACTGCGTAACTCACCCCGTCACTGCGTAACTCACCCCATCACTGCATAACTCACCCCGTCACTGCTTAACTCAACCCACTGTGTAACTCACCCCATAACTGTGTAACTCACCCCATCACTGTGCAACTCACCCCATCACTGCGTAACTCACCCCGTCACTGCGTAACTCACCCCGTCACTGCATAACTCACCCCGTCACTGCTTAACTCAACCCACTGTGTAACTCATCCCATAACTGCGTAACTCACCCCATCACTGTGCAACTCACCCCATCACTGCGTAACTCACCCCGTCACTGTGTAACACACCCCGTCACTGCTTAACTCAACCCACTGTGTAACTCACCCCGTCACTGCAAAACACACCCCGTCACTGCATAACTCACCCCACTGGGGAACTCACCCCGCTGTGTAACTCACCCCGTCACTGCATAACTCACCCCACTGGGGAACTCACCCACTGTGTAACTCACCCCATCACTGCGTAACTCACCCCATCACTGTGTAACTCACCCCATTACTGTGTAACACACCCCACTGCATAACTCACCCCACTGCGTAACTCACCCCGTCACTGCGTGACTCACCCCACTGCGTGACTCACCCCGTCACTGCATGACTCACCCCATCACTGCATAACACACCCCACTGCGTAACTCACCCTGTCACTGTGTAACTCACCCTGTCACTGTGTAACTCACCCTGCTGTGTAGCTCACCCCACTGTTTAGCTCACAGAGCTCCATCGTATGGTCTAGTCTCACTCTTCTAAATACACTATTGAGTCACTGAATCTTCAATTAGCCTGAGCTTTTCCTAACCAGAAACCCTTCTGGGAGCCATGAGCATGTCTGTAGGCTCAGCTGTGGTTTCCAGATTCCAGGAGCACTTGCCCTGTCAGGGGCCAGGATACTGCCAGACTTGTGTTCACCACAGGTGTGTTGCCACTGCAGCTGTTCCAGTCCATAACACAGCCTTGTAATGTCAGCGTGGATGTGTAAGTGTGCAAGGAACAATCAGTGCCAGTGTAGAGACCCTGGATGTGGCCATCCACTCTCAATGGCCCTAGGTCCTTCCAGACCCTCCATGTTCATTTCCCAGGGAACCTCTGGTTTGGAACCGTAACTGCAAAGAGGTAAGTCACAGAAGCTCGGTGGGATGATCTCACTTGCTTGCCAAGAACATACTGCTCCTCTAAAATTCTGTCATAGTTTCTACACCCAAGACATGGGCGAAAAATTCAGAAGCCACTGGGACCGCCTTGGAAGAAGGAACTCGGCCAGGGCCTTTGTCAGTCATCCCGAGTCACTAGCACTCAGGCGTCTTGTGCCAGGAGAGGGGGTCTTGGCCCAGAGCTCACCCTCCCCGCTGAGGCACGCTTGGTCCCTCGGAGCTAAGATGCTCTGCACTGCACTTTTAAGGAGCAGGGATCCTGCCAGGGAGGACTCTTAAACAGAACCACAATAAGCAGTGATTTACGGTCAGCCCCTGCATGCAGCAGATGCTGTGGGCCTGCTGAGCTCAGGAGCAGTGCACCTGCACGCCTGCCTCCCGGCCTGACCCAGCTCCAGCCTCTGTGCTCCATGCTGACTCCTGTCCCACCAGCACCAGCCGCCAACAGTGGGGGAGACATTCTTTCCACCGTAAGGATTTGTTTCCTGTAAACACAATTAGCACATAAAACTGTGCACCATGTGGTGAAAGGAATTAGGAAAATATGCTGTGTTTACTTTGTGGTTCCAAGAGCTGATATCTTCACACCTTTGATCTGCCAAGAGCCCAGATCATGGGCAGGAAAGGAGGGATAAACCTGGCTCAAGCAGCCAATGGATAAACAGCCGCCCGGCAGTCTCCTCACAGTGCAACTCAACTGCTGCTCCCGAGCTGTGCTTCCGAGTGTGGGGCTGTGTGGTCTCTGCCCCCAAGTGGAGGCTCCTGCAGAGCACAGCTGGGCCAGGAGCTGGGTGGCTCCACTGATGCTTCATTTCTGTACCTCAGTTTCCATCCAAAGAAGAGGAGACAGCACAGGGCTCTTGAGCAGAACAAGACAGTTCCCGTGAGATACTGGGGGCAATGTCAAATGATGCCAGTGACTGAAAAGGAAGCAGCCTGTGTTACCAGGACCACATGACCTCCCCACTGCTTTCCAGAAGGTTCCTGAATAACCCACCCCTTATTTACATGTAATTAGGTGGAGGTATAAGGAGAGCCAGCCAGCAATCCAAGGGGGTCCCTCTGCCTGTGGACGTCCCAACACTGGCTGTGCCCTGTTGCCCCAATTACCTCTTCCTCCACCATCGGCTCAGGCATGAATCTCTCCTGATCAACGCCTCCTCCACCGTCAGGTCACATGTGAATCTCTCCTGATCAACACCTCCTCCACTGTCAGCTCACATGTGAATCTCCCCTGATCAAGGCCTCCTCCACCGTCAGCTCATGTGTGAATCTCCCCTGATCAACGCCCCCTCCACCGTGAGCTCACGTGTGAATCTCCCCTGATCAACGCCCCCTCCACCGTTAGCTCACGTGTGAATCTCTCCTGATCAATGCCTCCTCCACCGTCAGCTCACGTGTGAATCTCCCCTGATCGATGCCTCCTCCACCGTCAGCTCACATGTGAATCTCTCCTGATCAACGCCTCCTCCACTGTCAGCTCACATGTGAATCTCCCTGATTAATGCCTACTCCACCGTCAGCTCACTTGTGAATCCTGATTAATTCCTCCTCCACTGTCAGCTCACGTGTGAATCTCTCCTGATCAATGCTTCCTCCACTGTTGGCTCACATGTGAATCTCTCCTGATGAGAAGTCCATGGTCACTTGAGTCATTTTTCTCCTGTATGTTTCTCTGGCTTTCAAGATTTTTTTTTCTTTATCATCTTTGGTTTTCACCAGTTTAATGTGTAAAGGTCTGACTTTCTCTTAATGCATGTTGTTTGGGGTTTTCTGAGCTTTTTAAATCTGCAGGTGTATGTCTTTAACCATATTTGGGGGTCCGTGCACATTATTTTTTGAAATATTTCTTCTGTCCCATTTTTTCCTCTTTCTCTCCTTCTGGGAGCTCCAGTTACCCATCTGTTAGACCTTCTGGAATTGTCCCACAGCCCTCTGAGGCTCCTTAACATTCTTTTCCTCAGATAACTTTTATTTTCAATTACGTTTTGGTTGAAGGGATGTTATTGTCCTCTTTTTAATAGCAACTGACAGACATTCTTCATATTCTGGAATTTCTCATATTTAAGAATGTTTACTTCTCAACTTTATAATTAAACACAAAATATTCAACTAATTGGAGAATGGAGTCCATTCACATTCAGTGTTGTTTATAAATAAGGGCTTAGACTGCCATTGTGTGGCTTGTTTGTGGTTGTAACTCCTCTCCTCTTTCCCTCCTTTGTTACTGTCATCCGTTGTGGTTAAGTGATTTTCTCTGATAGTATGTTTTAATTCATTGATTTTATTTTTAGTGTATCTATTGTAGGTTTTTGCATTATGGTTACTAAGAGGCTTACGAAAACATTTTATAGACATTTTGAAGAGATGACAACTATCATAGATCTCTGTTCACTTTTTAAATAATTTTTCTCTTTCTTTAACTTATATGGCTTCTATCAATCTCTTTAAGTTGACTACTATTTTCCTTTATTAAACCTGAACTTTTTATTTCAAGTATTGTATTTTTTCATTTGAAAATTCCATTTGGTTTTGTTTAATATTTTATATTTCCCTGCTCAGATTTTTTATGTTTTCATTCATCATAAGCATATATTCCTTTACTTTGCTGAGAACGGTTGTAATAGCTGTTTTAAGGTACTTGTCTGGTAACTCCAACAGTCTTTTCATCTCAATGTTGGCAACTAAAAACTGCCATTTCTTTTGAAGACTGGTAATATTTTTCTTGGTCTTTATAAGTCAAATAATTTTTTATTTTATCCCCCAAAATAAATTTTATGTGTAGTGGCTCTGGATTCTGTTTCCCCAGAGAGAAAGTGGAAGCTTCTAAACCTAGGCGAGTGGTCTGCAGAGCAAAATCGAGGCAGGCAGACATCTTCCATCCAAGAGGGCTCTTGGCTTCACTCAGGAGAGATTCACATGAGAGCCAACAGTGGAAGAAGTGTGATCAGGAGAGATTCATGCGAGAGCCGACAGTGGAGGAGGTGTTGATCAGGAGAGATTCAAGTGACCGTGGACTCTGATCACATTACATACAGTAGAACAATTAGTCGAGTGACTGTGGCCTTCTCATCAGAACTCATAGAGATTAGTAGATGTATTTACAATGCTGAAAAACCAAACAAACCTCTCAGCGTAAAATTTTATATCCAGAGAAAATTTCCTTCAGTAATGAAGACAATATATGTTTATTTTAAGGAAAACTAAGATAATTCATCAGCAGCAGACCTGCACTACAAAAAAAAAAAAATGCTAAAAGAAGTTATTCAGGAAGAAGAAATAATTCCAGAGGGAAACTAGCATCTTCAGAAATGAAGAGAATCAGAATAAAAAGGTAAATATCCGGGTATATATAGAAGTGTCCAGGCATGGTGGCTCACACCTGTAATCCCAGTTCTTTAAGAGGCTGAGACAAGTGGATCACTTGAGCTTAGGAATTCAAGACCATCCTGGCCAACATGGTGAAACCCCATCTCTACTAAAAATACAAAACTTAGCCAGGCATGATAGTGCGCACCTATAGTCGCAGCTACTCGGGAGGCTGAGGTTGGAGAATCACTTCAACCTGGGAGGCACAGGTTGCACTGAGCCAAGATCACACCACTGCACTCAAGCCTGGGCAACAGAGCAAGACTCTGTCTCAAAAAACCAGTGTGTGTGTGTGTGTGTGTGTGTGTGTGTGTGTGTGTGTGTATTTTTATTAATTTCTTTAAAAACACGTCTCTTTAAGTTAAAAATTAGAGGATATATGTTGTAATACATATGACAACTACAACATAATGGACAGTGAGAGGATAAATGGAACATACAGGTGCAAGACTTCTACATTATGTGTGAAGTGGTAAAGTCTTACCCCTAAGTAGATTGTGAAAAATTGAGAATATATATTATAATCCTCAACACCACTACTAAAAAATGAATGCAAAGAGAAACAGTTTAAAAATCAATAGATAAATTAAAATAAAAACATTTAAAATATGTAAATAATCTTAAAGAAAGCATCAAAGAGGGACTAGAGGAACAAAAAATGTGAGACACAATCAGAAAACACATAATGAAAATATAGATATAAATCCAAAAATAGTATTCATATTAAATATTTTTGGAGTAAACATATCAGTTAAAAGTCAAAAATTATCAGGATAAAAGAAAGCAAAACCTAGACTTCTGCTTCCAGACACGATAGACATCCTTCTCCATATTCTGCTCCATAAGTACAAATAAAAACATTATATATAAAACAAACATAAGAAAACTCCAAAGGTGAAGAAAAGACAGGCTGGTTAGAGACATCAGGACCCACAGAAGAATATAGACGTGAGTTCCATGGGTTTTGTTTTCCTTTTCTTATATCCTAGACTTGAAGCTGAGGAAGCAACCTGGAAATGCCAATAGGCCTACCTAAAAAATCCCAAATAAAAGCAATAGAATCAAATTAGAAATCAATAACAGAAAGATAACAAGAGTCCAAATGCTTGAAAACTAAACAATACACTTCTAAAGAATCCATGGGTGACAGAGGTAGTCAAAGAAAATCAGTACACTAAACCGAATGCCAATAAAAATATAAATAAAAATTTAAGTGATATAGCTAAAGCAGTACTGACAGGGAAATTTATAATACTAAATGCCTATGTTAGCAAAGAGAAAAGTTTCAAATGAATAATCTAAGCTCCCACCTCCAGAGCCTAGAAGAAGAAGAGCAAAATAATATTTTACCCAAAATAGCAGAAGGAAGAAAATAATAAGGATAAGAGGAGAAAGCCACAAAGTTGAAAAAAAGAAAAACGAAAGGGAAAGGTAAGGAAGCAGAGAATTTTTTTCTTTAAAAATATCAATACAATAGATGCACCTGTAGCAAGACTGACCAAAAAGAAAGAAGGCATAAATTATTAATATTAGAAATAAACAGGGGCTGTCACTAAAGACCCTGTAGACATCAAAGGATATTAAAGGAATACTGCAAACAATTCTATGTAAATATGACCACTTAGATGAAATCGACCAATTCATTTTTAAAAAATGCCCGCAACAATCCAATATGAAATAGATCATTTGAACATTTTTACAGCTATTTAGAAAATTGAATTTGTAATTTAAATATTGCCAAAAAAGAAATCTCCAGGCCCAGATGGTTTTATTGGAGAATTCTACCAAATTTTTAAATAATTTATAATTCTATCCAATCTCCTTCAGAAAACAGAAGAGGAGGGAATACTTTCCAACTCATTTTATGAATTTAGCATTACCTTAAAACCAAAACCAGGCAAAGACAATAACAAAAAAAGAAAACTGGCCAGGCACAGTGGCTCATGCCTATAATCCCAGCACTTTGGGAGACCAAGGTAGGTGGGTCACAAAGTCAGGAGTTCAAGACCAGCCTGGCCAGTATGGCGAAACCCCATCTCCACTAAAAATACAAAAATTAGCCAGGTGTGGTGGCATGCACCTGCAGTCCTAGCTACTCGGGAGGCTGAAGCAGAAGAATTGCTTGAACTGGGAGGCAGAGGTTGCAGTGATCCAAGATCGTGCCACTGCACTCTAGCATGGAGACAGAGTGAGACTCTGTCTCAAAAAAAGAAAAGAAAAGAAAAGAAAAAAAAAACCCATAGACAAGTTAATATCGATGTAAAAATCCTTAACAAAATATTACCACATAGAATTTAAGCAATATATAAAGAGAATTACATACCATGACCAAGTGAAACTTATTCCAGGAATGCAAGACTATTTCAATATTTGAAAATCAATTCATGTAATCTATAGTATTAATGGACCAAAGAAGAAAAGTCATATGGCCATATTAATTAAAGCAGAAAAAAAATACCTTACAAAATTTCTTAATCATAAGATAAATACCAAAAGTAATAAATGAATTTGGCACTGTTATTGGATACAGGATTAACACACAAAAATCAATTATAGAAGATGGCCGAATAGGAACAGCTCTGGAGTGTAGTTCCCAGTGAGAACAATGCAGAGGGTGACTGATCACTGCATTTCCAAACAAGTTTTTACTGCCCACAGACCAGGAGATTCCTGGGCTGAAAAGTGCCATGAGTTTCCAGCATGGCTGTTTCAGCCAGCACCACAGGTCTCTGAACAAAAACTCATACAAATTTGGGCAGCCATTTCAACTGGTGCCTGGAACACCTGGGAGACAGAGCCACGCATTCAACTGAAAAAAAGGGGCTGAAACAGGGAGCCAGGTGATCTGGCTCAGTGGGTCCCACCCCTGCAAAGACCAGCAAGCTGAAATGCTCTGGACTGAGAGTTCCACAGCAAGCACAGCTGGACCCGGGATGGTCCAGCTCGGTGGGGAGAAAGGCGTCAGCCATTACCAGTGCAGTCCACCACTACTGAGGCAGTCCACCATTACTGAGGCAGTCCGCCATTACTGAGGCAGTCCACCATTATGGAGGCAGTCTGCCATTACCAAGGCAATCTGCCTGTACTGAGGCAGTCTGCCATTACCAAGGCAGTCCACCATTACTGAGGCAGACCGCCATTACTGAGACAGTTCTAACTATACCTCTATAAACAAAACTGCAAGGAAGTTCACACAGTAGCTGGGCAGAGCCCACAGCAGCTCAACAATGCCTCTGCTGGCAGACTGTGACTAGACTACCTCCTTGCTGGGCAGGACAGCTCTGAAAAAAGGCAGCAGCACAACAGGAACTTATAAATAAAGCCTCATCTTCCCAGAATGGAGCACCTGGGAAAAAAGGTGGTTGTGAGTTCTGCTGCAGCAGATTTAAATGTACCTGCCCAGCAGCTTTGAATGGAACAATGGAGCTCACAGCTCAGCACTTGAGCTCCTATAAGGGACAGACTGTCTCCTCAAGCAGCTCCCCGACCCCTGTATATCCAAAAAGACACCTCATAAAGGAGAGCTCAGGCTGACATCTGGCGGGTACCCTTCTGGGACAAAGATAACAGAAGAAGAAACCAGCAGCAACTCTTACTGTTCGGCAGCCACCACAGTGATCCTCAGGCAAGCAGGGTGTAGAGCGGACCTCCAGCAGTCCTACAGCAGAGGGGCCTGACTGTTAGAAGGAAAACTAAAAAACAGAAAGAAATAACTTCAACATCAACAAAAAGGATGTCCACTCAGAGACCCCATCCAAAAGTCACCAATTACAAAAACCACAGGTAGATAAATCCATGAAGAAGGGAAGAAACCAGTGCAAAAAGGATGAAAACACCAAAAACCAGAACACCTCTACTCCTGCAAGGGCTCACAACTCCTCACCAGCAAGGGAACAAAGCTGGATGGAGAATGAGTCTGATGAATTGACAGAAACAAGCTTCAGAAGGTGGGTAATAACAAATTTCTCTGAGCTAAAAGAACATGTTCTAACCCAATGCAAAGAAACTAAGAACCTTGAAAAAAATGTTAGACAAAATGCTAATGAAAATAAGCAGCTTAGAGAAGAATATAAATGACTTGATGGAGCTGAAAAACACAACACGAGAACTTCATGAAGCATACACAAGTTTTAACAGCCAAATCGACCAAGCAGAAGAAAGGATATCAGAGATTGAAGATCAACTCAATGAAATAAAACAAGAAGGCAAGATTAGAGAAAAAAGAGTGAAAAGAAATGAACAAAGCCTCTAAGAAATATGGAATTATGTGAAAAGACCTAATCTACGTTTGATAGGTGTATCTGAATGTGACAAAGAGAATGAATCCAAGCTGGAAAACACTCTTCAAGATATTATCCAGAACTTTCCCAACCTAGCAAGGCAGGCCAATATTCAAGTCCAGGAAATACACCACAAAGATACTCCTCAAGAAGAGCAACCCCAAGACACATAATCATCAGATTCACCAGGGTTGAAATGAAGGAAAAAATGCTAAGGGCAGCCGAGAGAAAGGTCAGGTTACACACAAAGGGAAGCCAATCAGACACACGGCGGATCTCTCAGCAGAAACCCTACAAGTCATAAGAGAGTGGGGGCCAATATTCAACATCCTTAAAGAAAAGAACTTTCAACTAGAATTTCATATCCAGCCAAACTAAGCTTCATAAGTGGAGAAATAAAGTACTTTACAAACAAGCAATTGTTCAGAGATTTCATCACCACCACGCCTGCCTTACAAGAGCTCCTGAAAGAAGCACTAAACATAGAAAGGAACAACCAATACCAGCCACTCCAAAAACACATCAAATGGTAAAGGACATTGACACAATGAAGAAACTGGATCAACTAATGGCTAAAACAACCAGCTAGCATCAAAATGGCAGGATCAAATTCACACATAACAATATTAACTTTAAATGTAAATGGGCTAA